CAAATAGGACAAGCTGTACCACTAAAATAAAAATATCAGTACCATTTGTATAAGAAGGTATTTTGATATTAAAAGGGTATTTGAGAAGGTATTGTATAGGCTAATCTAATTATAATTGAGAAAATAGTCTTATAATCAAATCAATCTGAGGCTAAACAGTAACACATGACAGCCAGTCCTGTTTGGGTATCACCAGGAAATGTCGCACAAAAAGATATCAAAGAGATTCAATCGTGTGTCATAGTCAGGGGTTAAAGTGGGTTGTGTTTTCTGTTTTATAAGTTGTTGTTTTTTTGGGGGGGGGCACTCAAACGACTACAGGTGTCCATAAGTTGTGGTTGCTGTACTTTAGCATCTAGCTAGCACTACAAAAGAACATAAAGGGGAACAACATTTTTTAAGTGGCAGGTAATTTCAAATATGGCGCGTCTATCAGCTCAACAAAGATTAGCAAACACACAAATTGTTTGTGTGCAGTTTGATGCACAACATGTTGCTAGCTAAAGGTCCAGCTGGAGGCCGCATTTGTAGGCCGATTATATCACAGCCAGGCGACGAAGGCTGATCCCAATTCGAAGGCTGCTCCAAATGCAGCCGACAAATGCGTCCTTCATTTCCCCAGATATGAAGGATGGGTTGGGTGTATCCTTCATGTCCCAAACTATCCCAGAATTTATAGCGCTACTAAGTTTTAATATTACTCTTTCTAGGTCCCAAAATCAACTTTTAAGATATTTTCAGGCAAGAATGTAGCTGTGTAAACTTCAAATATCTGCAAAAGTGCTCTGACATTTTCGGAGATGCCTGTTACCCACCAGCTCGATAACTGACTGGGAGGTCAAGACTCACTAGAGCCAGCAAGAACACTGGACTCCTGGCACATTGTTTTCAGACCCCTGCGGTCTTTCGCTACTCAGGTTAAACATGATATATAAGTCACTTAGACAACTTAAAAATGTTATTGTAAGGCTTTTCTATTTGTTTCTGAGTAAATTGGTTTGACTGAGATTTAAGTTTTCACACAGCTGAATAAACGTCAAACAGAAAACTGCTTAAACAGAAGTGTGAGATGGCTGAGAATTTACTCCAACGTCCTGTTATACTTTAGATAACAAGGAGAAGATGGCTGAGTTTATTAAACTTCACCGAGACAGCTGGTGACGCAAATCTGAAGGCTAAACCATCCCATTTCACAGCCTCGCACTTCCAGCCTTATTGGTCTTCGAAGGACCCGGGCCTGCGTAGACCGCAAGGGCCGGGTCCTTCGAAGGATGCAGCTTAGGAATTGGGAAACAGCTATTGGGTCTGTACATTATGTTTTTTCATGTTTTTTCATATTGGACAACAATCTGCAAATTTAATTAAAATTTAATAAATTATCATCTTGTCTTTATTTTTAGTTAGCACAAACCTTAAACACTTCAAGCTGTAAGATAATGATAGTTATATCAGAGCAGATGCTGCTGGTGCAATAACCTGTACGCTTTACGTCCAATGGATGCATGATCTGATTAGTCGACTAATCGCAAAAATAATCGGTGACTAGTCGACTATCAAAATAATCGTTTGTGGCAGCCCTAACTATTAGTGCAGAGAATGTAAGTTAGCCAGGACCACTCGTGAAACAGCTTCTTACAACTGGTTGAATTCAAGTGTATAAATCTGCAAAGAGCAGTTCAGCAGATCACAGTCTCTTCATTAAGAAAATCTATTGGAGCTCTCAACAGAAATTATTGTGAGCTGTGCTTCTTTTCCCCACACTGAACCATCAAAACTGATTTTAGGGTTCCCCCACCCACTGAATCCCACTGTAACCCCTGACTGTACTCATTTCCTGAGTACAAAGAAAGAAAATAGAGCTTGTCTTTTTCTCTGCTCATGTTCTACATAAATAATTCAACCTGACTAAATTATTTGAATTCAAATTCAGACTGAAATAAAGTCTTTATTCCCTGATATAATTTTATTATTACATTAATACATTAATATAGCACAAGGTTCAGTTAGCTTTGCACAGTTGTCCTTCAAAGAGCTACTTTTTACTTCCTTACTTGGAGTACATTTCAGAGCCTGTACTTTTTCACTTTTACTTGAGTAAAGAATTTGAATCACTACTTCAAGTATCTGTACTTCTACTTAAGTACAGAATGTCTGTACTTTTGCCACCTCTGCAGGACACTCACACGACAAAGAAAGGCCTACATTGCCCATCAACAAAACAGTGAAGCAACGGGCTGCAATCAGCTATCAGCACACGCGGCTACAATTAGTGGCTTCTTAGCTAACTATTTTGGACTCAATCTATGAGACATTACAGTGAGCAGAGTGCAACATAAAAATGATCAGACTTTTGAAAAACTTCTCTAACATGACAAAATATATTTTGATTGTGCTTTACATTTGGAAAAGCCTTTTTTGTTTCACAATTTTGTCTTTTTTTCCCTACACCAAACACGCAAAAATGAAATAATAATATTCAACATACTCAACCATTGCAACAACATTCATCTACATTACAGCTTTCATTCACAAATCTATTGCATTTCACCATGAAGAAAGCACAAGAAAGATGTGTTTTCTTTTTATCACCCTATAACCAGACAAGAACACCATTATTGGTTGCTTCTGCAAAACACACTTTTCAAACTTTATGTCACAAAGCCAGAATTCAGAGATTAGGAAAAGAGCTTGATCATGAAAAATAAACAATCAATTGAAATAATGATAGGGTTACACAACTAAACATAAAGATTAGGCTATCATAACAGTAAATGCCACCCACACAACACTACAACAACCTTCACACCTTTACTTCCTCCAGTGGGGAATTTTGTCACTGGATGTACAGCTTCAGCTGAAAATGTATTCAATGAGTATTCAATGAGATCAATCTCTGGAAAATCGGCCATTTTTATTCTGGAGTAAATTTCCATCTGTCTACATTCCCCAATCACAATATCACCAGACGTGAGTGTGTGTTTGTGTGAAAAGACATCAATCTGTCTCAAGGACTAGAAAGAGACAAGTCTCACAGCTACACAGTTAAATCTGTGTTTCACGAGTCATAGGCAGTTGTAAAAAACAAACCATCAGTAATATTCTGGGTCAGAATGAAGCTGATTGTGGCAACAGTAATTAGATATCTGAAACAGAGTTAGTTAAACAAACTGCAGTTTGTTTAACCGTAGTTACTTTACCGTAGTTTACCAATGAACAACAATGCAAAAAGGCAAAGAATGACAGACTCCCAATGGAAGTCAGTCTCATAGATTGCGCACAAAATATGGACAAATCTACTGTGACTTTACACAACTCTGCATTTTGAATTTTTGATGTTAGAATTTCAGCTGCTGTCACAAGTGGCCATGTTTGGATAAGATGGCAAATTTTTCAGTTAGCAGCTAATGCTAACAAGGTTGATTTGCCTAGTACAGGTGCACCTCACAGGCAGATACTACATACTAGAACTTCACTCAACAAAACTGAGAAAACAACACTCAAAGAAAGGTGGTGGTTTTGAGACTATAATATGATTATTAAACAGAATTTAGCCTACAGAAAAAAAGAGAGAGTATTTCAAATCTTGGCATTCGGTGGGAAGAAATGAACTAAGGCACTTGGTATAGACATCCCCTGTCTTTAAAGCATTTTAAAACGTAGCTGTCTTAATTTGACTCACTCTGTAGCTAAATCCTATCAAAATTACTATTGTTTTGATTTCCCAGGTCTGGTGATTTTTTAGATTTTTTCTGTACCAAGCAATGTATTTTCAGCATTGCTTACAAGTATTTAATTTTAAAAATTGGCTAATTAAAATTTGCTAAAAAAACAATTAGCTATCTAGCCTAAAGACAAGCTGTGAGCAAGCTATCGGAGTTCAGCTTTACTTTAAGGTCAGCATTTAACCTGCCAGAGGATCTTTTGGATGCTGGTAATTGAACAGAACAACTACTGTACATGTGACTGGTGCTCAAGACAGAGCTGCCTCGAATCTGAAAACAAACTCAGGTGTCTGGTGTCTGTTCCCCTCTTATCACCGTGGTCTTCTTAGGACAAGTCCAGCATGACCCGAAATATTTTGCTCATTATCCAAAAAGTACGTGGACTGTCTGATTCTCTGCAATCTATAGACAGATTCCTGCATTATTGTTCTATTGCACTTGAAGTCTGTAGCAGTCCCATGATTACGATATGAAGGATATAGAGAAGAAGAAGGAAAGCACATATTCCTCGTCTTGATTACTTGTTGTTTGATTAGGCATTTCTTAATTTAACTAGTCTGTTTGTGTGTTAACTTTAGATCATATTTTAGTAAGGTGAACACTGATTGAATTAACTAATTGTGATAAAAAAAAAATATATATATATACTCATCAGTATATGAATAAAGGTTTTGAGATAAGTTTGAAGAAGGTGGATGGATTGATGGATGGATGGACAGATGGACATAGAGATGGATGGGACAGCTGGATGTTCCAAAAATGGTCTGCCTCAACATGCTCTTTCATGTCTACAAACAGAAAATATTAGTGTCCAATTTCTAAATTCAAGTTTCTTGCTTAATTTATCCAGCAGTTTGTGTTTCTCAGCACCACCACAGTCTGACTTAGTGGCCATTGAATGCCTAAGGGCACCTTTACACTTGTAACAAGTGTTTCCATTCCAACACGTGTTTTTTTCCTGCACAACCAACTTATAAATTGGCACCATTTTAAAGACTCTTAAAGTAAATTGTAAATCATCATCACTGATAAAGAGGGAAGAATATAAATTTGCAAAACCTCTGATCATGCTGGATTTGTCTTTTAAGTTGTATGTTGGCAGGCAGATAAATGAGCCGGAGCGTGCACTATGCCTCGATATGTCAGTGTCTGAGCAGTCAGAATCACATACTGACATCAAAGAATAAACCTCTTTTGCAGTCGTCAAGCCCGCTCATTTGTCCGCAAACATGCCATCAAAGAACTAAACTTGTGTTATTGGCTGGCTGGGTCTCTTACCGGTCTCTGAGGTCCAGTGGGCTCAGACTCTCTCCGGCGAGGACGTCCTGATGGCAGAGAATGACAGGGCGACTGTGCTGGGCTACCACCACTTTTCCTTGATGCCTCCTCCTCTGTTAGCGTTAGCATCCCCCGGCTGCTCTCCCGCGTGTGAGTCTTTGGACGAACTACTGGCTCCGCTCCTGCAAAGGAAACCAACGACAATTCTGCAGTCAAAACCTCCTTGTGTTTACTTTATGGTAAATGGTAAATGGTCTGTATTTGTGTAGCGCTTTAGTTGGTCCTAAGGACCCCAAAGCGCTTAACACTATACACAATCATCCACCCAGTCACACACTGGTGATGGCAAGCTACAGTGTAGCCACAGCCGCCCTGGGGCGCACTGACAGAGGCGAGGCTGCCGGACAGTGGCGCCACCGGGCCCTCTGACCACCACCAGTAGGCAACGGGTGAAGTGTCTTGCCCAAGGACACAACGACCGAGACTGTCGGAGCCGGGGCTCGAACCAGCAACCTTCCGATTACAAGACGAACGCCCAACTCCCTGTTAGTCACTAACAGGCTGCCACAGTCACTTGCAGTTTGCAAGATGCCAACTTGTCTGCAAACATTCACTGAACCATTGAGCGGTAGTGAAAAAGTGTGATGCAAACCAGAAACAGAGAACATTCAATTTCAAAGTAAAAGTTGTGCCTTAAGTTTAAAACGTTTGCTTTGAAGGCAAATGGTCTCAGTTTCTAGTTTGCTTTTATATAATTATGCTTTAATGTATTTTTAAAAAATGAGTTAAAACATCTAGGTATTTAATTTAACTTGAGATTATTGTGCAACCACTGCAAAACTGTCCAGTGTCTTTAAAAAAAGATAACATTAGCGAGCAGTTGAGCAATTTAAGGGTAGCCAGTTAGTCGTAACTTTGTTACAGCGAATGATTCTTCGAGTTATTAATAATAATAATGGATTGCATTTATATAGCGCTTTTTTGGGACCCCTCAAAGTGCTTGGCCCTGGAAGAAGACGAGCAGGCCAACGAGGAAGAGGAGTTTAAATGAGATTAGGAAGACGAGCAGGCCAACGAGGAAGAGGAGTTCAAATGAGAGGAGGAAGAGAAGCAGGCCAACGAGGAAGAGGAGTTCAAATGAGAGGAGGAAGA